GCGCACAGGCATTTCCGGTACCTTGTCAGCAGGGGTGAGTTTGGTCCAGGGCTTGTCAGCCCGCCGGTCATAGTCCTGAGCATCTGTGACCTCCACATACTCGTTGAACCGCAGAATCTTCCTGGCCAGAAGTTCGGCAACAGTTGGCCTTTGACTGAGCTGAAAGAGACGGGGCTTCTTGGTTTGCTGCGACAGCAACGGGGTGCCAGTCTCCATTCAAGCGGTCTCTAACCAAGCACTTGAACCTCCACTGCACCCGGAGCCACCTGGCAGCTTCAAACACCTGGTTCCATCCGCGGAGACTCTGGGTTACTAAGTGTCTTGTTTATTTTAAATAAAAAGCAGAGCTAAGATTGAAAACCAGGTTTCAATAAGCATATGAAATACCTGGGACCTAGTTAAAATGGAAGTTCTGATTGCGTGGGTCTGACAAAGCTCCAGGCAGTACCAACACAGCCAGTCCGGTCCACAGGCCCCACTCTGAGCAGCAAAGGTCCTATGAATTTTACCTGAGCAAGAATACCACCTAAGAAACCAGACACTGGGGACCAGCCGTGGGCATAACGGCTATGTCGCTGGACTCCCACATAGTTAACTGCGCTTCAAGTCTCGGACCCAGTGGCTTAAACTCACGCCAGGCGCGTGTGTAATGAAAAAAACATATTAAGAAGGAAATCATGGGACTAGCTGTTGCATAATGGCTATGTCACTGAACTCCCATGTAGCTGACTATAGTTTGAGTCTCGGACCCAGTGGCTGAAACTCACGCCAGGCGCGTGTGCATGTGTGCCCAGGATCCCGAGAGGAGAATGGAGGAGAAGGGATTTCTGGCAAGTGCATGCGCCCTATAGCACAAACCTCTCCAAAAAAAGAAACCAGACTCTGCAACAAAGCACGATGGACGTCTGCACAGCCAGGTAGCCTGTTGGGCCAGGAGGCAAAGTCCAGCCATGGCCTCTGATTATCAAGGACAACCCTGTTTCTGGGGAAAGACAGTAGGACAGACCAGGAAGAGTGTCCAGAGCCCTGGCTCTCCCGGAGAGTCTTCCAAATTTTAAGAAACGTCTAGGGAATTCAGACCAAATTAGAATCTACAGACGTTATAAAGTGATGGTAGGAAGAGAACATGACTTGGCTTCGAGCGTAAAAGCTAAGACAGGCCTGCTGGTGGAGCCTATTCCAGCTGGCCCAGGAACAAGAGGGGAACCACAGGCTTCAGTTTGCAGATATTACTCAGGGTTATTTCAATATCTCCCAATATTGCTTTGAAAAATGGAAGACTGCGAGCATCTCCTGTTACTGTCCCTGCACACCCACAGTTTGAAAGTTTACATTAAAGTACTAGGTTATCAAACGAAAGCTCAAAATATATCCATTTATCCAACACCTGCTGGTGCCAAGCCGTTTTTAGATATTAAACATGAAAAAAAGTTCCTGATAAGGCCGTGTTATTTTCTATATTTACATCATGAATTATATTTTCAAAGGAATCTGTGGCACTTACAGTCAAATTCGTGTTTTTCCAAATAAACAGGTCATATAAATTCCAGTGCACAACCAGCAGCAGAGCAGAGCTGAGCACGGGCGGCAGCGCCGCCCTGCAGACAGGGTCAGGGAGGTGGTCCGGCCCTGCCGTCCTACCTTACAGGTCGACGGTTGCAGGGCGAACAGCCTATGCGGCCAGCGGCGACGTCTGTGTGCTCGATATACAGCAGCGACTTTGCTGCTGTACGCCATCGCGTGCAGCACACGTGTGTGCGTGTGAGACAATCTGGTTTTGGCGACAAGCCGCTGTTGTCTGCAGTCCATTGAAGAGAAAGGGAGCACCCTGTTGACCTGCGCGGCCCTGCCCTGCCCTGCTCAGGCTAAGGTTCAGCGTGCTGCGCCCTGATGGCTGGCTCTGTGCTGGGAGCTCCGACAGGGAGGGGCTGCTCTGCCAGTGTCCTCCATGTGCCTCACAAGCTCCACGAGCCAGCGCTGCTGTGGGCTCTGCGAGTTCCCACTGACCTCAGCCAGTAACCGACGTGACGTCAGTGCCTGGCATCTTTTTCCTGTTCAGCCCGCCCTTCCGAGCGGAAAAGAACCTTATAAAACAAGTACCTTTCTGGTGAGCCGGCGCTTAATTTCTCGTTTTTCTGCCTGACGGTCAGCTTCATTTTTAGCTACAGTGGACAGTCAAAACACAAAACAATTTCACATCAAACCTTAGTAATCACAACACAAACATTTCTTACGGGTCCTAAACAGAACCAATAAGGGCTTTGTAGATGGCGACTGAGACACGTGTTCTTGTCAGTTGATGGAGTCAGTCTCATGAGCAGGGACAGCAGACCACGGGGCCGAATCTAGCCAGCTGCCAGTGATTTTGCTGCCTGGTCCTGAGAATGACCTTTATTTTATTTTATTTTTTAGGTTTTTGCCATAGTGTGCGTGCTTCTCAGAGAGAAACAGAGACAGTGAGAGGGAAAGTGAGAAATCACCCCCCAAGGGGGGTAGTCAAACCGCAATCCCTTCTCCTGAGATTTTGGGCCCACGTGCACATGCGCCCAGTGTGATTTTCAAGCAGGCCAGTCCAGGACCTGAACCGTGGTTGGCCATGCGGAAGTCTTTAACCACTACTCCATCTGTTTATCTCAATCTTTAAGTTTTTTTCTCTCTCTCTTTTTTTTTTTTTGGAGAGGTGTTTTTTTTTTTTCTTTTTTGTTTCTGCCTTTTTTTTTTTTTTTTGCTATAGGGCGCATGCGCTAGCCAGAAAGACAGAGAGAGACATAGAGACAGAAAGCGAGAAATCACCCCTCAGGGGGGATGGCCACACCACAATCCCTTCTCCTCCATTCTCCTCTCGGGATCTTGGACACACACGCACACGCGCCCGGCGTGAGTTTAAGCCACCAGGTCCGAGACTCAAACCGCAGTCAACTACATGAGAGTTCAGCGACACAGCCATTATGCTAACTGCTGGTCCCAATCTTTAAATTTTTAAACAGTTTTGTATCTTCCTTTTTAAAAAAGGATTAATTTAATTTTATTTGTTATTATTACAATTATTATTATTTTTAATTTGACCCCAAGAAAGACAGAAAGAGAGAAAAAAGGAGAGCGAGAAAGCAAATCAACCAGTCTGGGACTTGACCCACTGTCAGCCATGTTGGAATCCAGCATCTCAACCACTACACCACCTGCCAACACTGTAAGTATCTTAATAGTCTCCGTTTGCTTTTTAGCTTGCAAAGCTGAAAATGCGTACTATGTACCATTAAAAAACAAGGTTAATGGAATCAACCTAAGTGCCATGAACTAAGGACTGAGCTGAAGAACTGCAGCACCCACACACCGTGGGACACTACCCAGCCACAGAGAGCAACGGGACAGTGTCGCTGGACTCTAAGTGATCGAATATGGAAGGCCTGCTGCTAAGCAAGTCAGCCAGACTTCTGAAAGACAAACACCATCTACCTCTGCTCGGCGAATCCTGAATGTCTGCACTCTATGGCAGACAGAGCCACAGACAGAGTGTGGATTCCAGAGTCTATAAGGGAGAAGTGCTGGGAGGGCGGGTGGCAGGGCAAAGGGAAGAAACACTCGACAGACCCAGGAGTGTAAATTCTCTGTTGAGAATGATGCAGATGGTGATGTCCTTGATTTGAGAATCAAAACAGACAAGTAAATAAATGAGGAAAAACAGTAAAACCTGTAGAGTCTTGCTCAAGAGGAACTGCTGCGAATGGACAATGGAAATCGCACCCAGGCTCGAGCTAAATGTCTACAGAGGCTCTCGACAAGACAATTTACCACGTGACTAGCTGTGCATATCCAACTGGTGCTGACAAGACGGGATAAACTGTCAGATTATGCATGCCCACAGCAACCCTAGTGAAGCCCAAACCTCTGCCACGAGAAGGTTTTTAAGGCCGAATTTGCTCTACACTCTGGGAACACAAATCAAGAACACTTTTCAAGTAGTTAATTATATATGCAGATAGCAAATGAAATACATGGTTCTACTTAAGAAGGTCTTAAGGAATTAAAATTGGCAGGAAGACTGCGACATCTGAAATTTGTTTGGGCCCCACCCTCAGATTCCACCAGGAACAAGAGGGTCTCTCCCATAGGGACGGTCACTCCTTGGCTCCTGAAGATAAAACAAGGCTGGGTCACATCTCCCACAGGCCAGCTACACGGCCTGGTGGTTAGGGGGGCAGAATCCCACATGACACTGCAAGGTTCAAACTCCAGCCCCAGTGACTTGAGAAACACCCTGGGAATGTGTGTATGGGAGTGTCCAAAATGGAGAAATGGGCAAGTCACTACAGTGTGACCAAGCCCCAATATGGGGGTGCGGTCTCCCTCTCCACCCCCACTGTCAAAGGCCCTCTGGAAAACAAATAGAAAACCTGGAGATGTCTTGGGCTGGCTCCATAGCACAGTGGTTAACAGCACTGTGCACTGGGAGTTGGACCTATGTGATCAGCCCTAGTTCAAATCCCCACCATGGTGGCATGGAAAACACACTGGGCACGTGAACATGCCTGGCCAAAATCTTGATGGGATGGAGAAATGGAGGGAAGAACACTGTAATACGACCACGCCCTCCCCCCCCCCCCGCCCCCCCCCCCCCCCCCGGGGAAGCGCTTCTCCGTGTGCGCGCGTGTGTACAGATAATGAGCACGTGTGTCCTCTGGCAATTAAAACAAGTTCTGGAATATCACGGTGTACTGGACAGTCCCGCAATGTCATCTTCCAAAGGAAGTAAAGTGGGGAACTATGTCCCTCTAGGGGAAAACGAACAGCTCCTCCTTGGCTGGAATAGTCTCTGCTTAGTCTTTGTATCAAATGCTTCTTTTCTCTTCTGGGCTGGGTCATTGAAAAAGTCAAGATGCATTTTTGCACAAAAATCAAGTCATGACTTTTCCAACAACCCAATGCGTTAAAAGTCAGAAATATGAAGAGAGCCCGTGCAGCCCGCCCACAGCCCGACTCAGCCCCGCGGTCGGACTCACGTTGCAGTATATTGCGCTGTTCTAGTTCCTCTGCTGTTGGTCTTTGACTCAGTCGCCTAAAAAGAACACAAATACGGGAAGTGACTGTGTTAAACCTCCTAATCCTGTTCATACACTGGTTTTTACCACAGTTCATTTCAATCCCTACGCAAGGAAGGAATCAATATATTTTCAAACTGACATGACTCCATTTTTCTGATTGTTTATGAAACAGTTTCCACACTGAAAGTGCTAACACAGAAATCATGTTACCAACGATTATTTACACAACTATTTCCAAGTGTGCAAACCAGAGGCAAGGATTCCAGTTGTGGCTCTGGACCCTGGCAAAGTGAACCCGGGACTGGGCTCAGAGCTCCCAAACAAGTTTATCCCTTCTGCAATGAAGATTTTGTCAAAAACAGATTCCAAAGGCCTGTTCATAGAAATTCTGACCTAGGAAAGGAGATGAGGAATGAAGTGTGTGTGTGATTCTCACAGGAATGAGGTTGTGTGTGATTGTCACGGGAATGAGGTGTGTGTGTGTGTGTGATTTTTCACAGGAATGAGGTTGTGTGTGTGATTCTCACAGGAAATTACTCTGATGGCCCTCTGACTTCAAAAGTAACCAAGGGGGACCAGCAGTTAGCGTAATGGCTATGTCGCTGGACTCCCACGTAGTCGACCGCGGTTTGCGTCCTGGACCCGGTGGCTTAAAACTCACGCTGGGCGCGTGTGCGTGCGTGCCCAAGATCCCGAGAGGAGAAGGGATTGCGGTGTGGCCATCCCTGCTGGGGGGTGATTTCTCGCTTTCTGTCTCTCTGTCTCTATGTCTCTCTCTGTCTGTCTGGCGAGCGCACGTGTCCTACAGCGAAAACCTCTCCAAAAAAAAGAAAAGAAAAGAAAAAGAATGACAACTTGTCACTTCTGAATCCTTATACTGGACAGATTATTTAGCTTCACAGTATGTTGTGAAATAAAATCATTTTAGTCTCTGACTTTTTTAAATAGTTGTTTTGGTTATTCCAAGGAAATGTACTCTACTTTCAAAGATCCCCGTTGTTAACTAACTCCAGTCCTGATGTTTTCTTGCTGACACTTTCAGAGGACCAAGTTCTGCAGGACTCCATTTTGGCCAACTTGTTGCCAAATCCTGGCAACTAGATCCCAAAGAAAGGAAACAGAGAACTAGTTCAACTGGACTTCTCTTTAAATATCTGCAAAACCAAGGGACAGGCTCTGGATCTAATGACATGGTTGGCATCTGCCGTTGCTAGTGGAGCTGACAGGGCAGAATCTGGCAGTTCCGGTTCCGTGCTGTCGCTAGCGAGGCCAGGCAAGGCCTGACTGATTCTGGCCTCTCTGACTTGCTCTTCTAAGCCCTGGACGAAGCTAACCCAGGTGGATGTGGGAGCACGCAGTGACAATGTCCGTCACAGGCACAGAAAAGGGCTCAGCAACAGCAGGAGGGCTTCGGGAGGAAAGGGGGCATCAGTGCCTATGAATATTGACTAAGGTCTTTTCTTCTTAGAAAAATGGGCCGAAGGAGACACAGTGGTACAGTGGTAAACTGTGATATTCTGCAAGGCTGTCCCAGACAGGAAGGCTCCAGGATTGCTCCCAGAAACGTCCTGAGTGCTCTGGGTACCTGCATGCCCATGACCAGGGGCTGGGGTGAATTTCGACATTAAGAATGTGCTGTAGTTGCTGTCTGTCTCTCACTCATGGAATTAAAAATAAATAAATAAAACCCTAAAAAATGGGGCAGGGCCAATGGGTAGCCTGAAGGTTAAGGAGGCTGGGTCCTACATGGCCAACAGTGTGGTTTGAGTCCTGGACCTGGGGGCTTGAAAATTACGCTGGGCATGTGTGTGTGTACGTGCCCCAACTCCTAAGAGTGGAATGGAGGAGAAGAGATTATGGCGTGGCCACCCTCCACCCCCGGGGCAGGGATGGTTTCTCACTCTCCCTCTCTGGCAAGGGCATACGCACTAAGCAAAAAAAAAAGGGAGGGGGGAGGTTGTGCAGGCCAGCCCATGGTGCAGTGGTTAAAACAGGTGGACGGCACATGGCCATCAGTCCAGTTCGAGTCCCAGACCTGGCAGCTGGATCACATGCTGGGAGTGTGTGTGCATGTCCCAAATCGTGAAAGGAGCAAGAAGTGGAGGAGGGGTCACAGAGTGAAGCCCCCTGTGGGAAGGGCGTGCTTTCTCACTTCTCTCATCTCTTTTTCTGTCTTTCTCCAATGAGCACAAGCACCCTCTGCTAAGCTAAAGAGAAGAAAAAAAAATGGCGGGGAAGGAGCAGCAATGAAATATAATACTATAATTCAAAAGATTCTTACTTAGAACTATGGTTCTCAAAGTAGAGGCTTAGGACCAGCAATATGGGCAAGATATACAAACCATCAGGCCCCACACCATGCTGAAAACTCCAAGAGCCCGACAATCCGATTTACAAGCCTGCCAGGTAATTCACACTGTGTGGATTCTGTGGACTAGCACATAGCGGTCAAGAGCAACAGTCCCAAAGACAAGATGGTAACAAGGAAGACGGCGCGAGAGACAACAGCTGCTCCGTGCACAGCGGTGCTCGCAAATACCAGGAAGAACCCAGTCTTTCGACTAGCCCGAGCCCGGGCCAGGGCAAACCCCACCTGAGACCGGCTCTGCAGAGCTTCTGCCTTGTTTCTGTCTTAGCTTTGCTACAGGTCACGAGCCACAGAGAGAGAGGAGAGCTCACCCCCGAGGGTGGCCATGCTGCAGTCTTTTCTCCTCTCAGGATTTGGGGCGCACACACACATACCTGGCGTGATTCTCAAGCCGCCGAGTCTGGGACTCGAATCGCCTATGTGGCCATGTGGGAAGTCCAATGCTTTAACCTCCGTGCCGCCTGCTGGCCCCACACTTTTTAAAGACTACCTCAGCCTCCCGACTAGGACCACGGGAGAGAGAAGAGAGAAGCCCCTCCACAGGGTCTCATCCCAAGTGGCAAGTTCCCAGGCCCGCACCTGGAGACCAGAGTGTGCTGGCACATGTGCCCAGACCCAGGGCTGGCCATGGCTGGGGTGGCCTTTGGCATGACAAAGGTGCTTCTTTCTCCTGCCCTTGCATGAGGAGGTGCTCTCTATCATTAAAAACAGGGAGCCAGCCAGTGGCATCTGCTTAAGGCAGCTGGATCCAACACCACCAACTGCATGGTTCAAGTCCAGGAACTGAAGGCGTGAAAAGCACACCAGGGCCTGTGTACACACACGTGTGTGCCCAAGATCCTGAAAGGAAGAGGAAGGGATTGCAGCCTGACTGTCCTGCACTGGAGGTAGGGCTCCCCCCCATCCCCCGCCCACTGTCTGTCTCTCTGGTAGGTGCGCGTGCTCTCCAGCACACAGACGTACACAACCCTCTCACCCCAAAAAACCCAAACAGAACTAGTTATGTCTGGCATGCCCTAAAATTTAAAAAAATTTTTTAATCTATTCATTCATTTATTTTAATTTGACCAGAGAGAGACACACACAGAGGGAAAGTCTTGAGAAAGAAGCAGCAGGAGACACAGACTTGGAGGGGCTGGCAGAGAGGAGCAGAAAGGTCTGTCTTGGGCAGAGGGCACTCCTGCAGGGGTGGCTCACATCAGTCCTTGCAGCACCGAGAAAGCAGGGCCAGGCATGGAGGCCAGGACTGCATGTGCAGAGGCGAATGTTGGTGTTGGAGAGAGGGTTTCTGCACTCTCAGTTGTCAAGTTTTGCAAGAGCTCTTTGAGAGGCACTGTGTAAACAGAGTTGGACTTCATCTTGTACAAGGTCTGTGATTCCTTGACATGAACTCATGCATGTGCAGTGTAAGACAGACCTGTCTCCCCCAGCCCCGGCCCCCGCATGCTGCAGGTAGTGAATGAAGAGTGAAACAGGAGAGAGTTCGTGTAAGCCAAATTGTCCTTCTTGCCTTTTTTCTTTTGAAGAATTATTTATTTAACTTTTTATTTATTCATTCATTTATTTTAACTTGAACAGAGAGAGAGAGAGAGAGAGAAAATGAGAAAGCAAGCAACCAGGTCCAGGATTCAAACCGTGGACAGCCATGTGGGAGTGTCCAGCACTGTAACCACCACACCACCTGCTGGTTCCTTGTCCTAAAATATTTACCATTTGGTCCTTTATGGAAAAAGCTTATTACAGGGTGCAGGATTATGGATGATTGTTTTCCCTTTGGGGCAATTTTCAAGCTACGATATAAGGAACATGTACTTCTTTACTCTCATACTACGAGAAAGTCTCTGCATCATAGTTTGACTGGAGAAAGGATTATTTTAGTTTCTCCCAGAACAGTGGCTAAAGCTATAATAACACTCTTCCAAAAGTCTAGAACTAGACTCTCCCAGGCGCTGGGTGGGCGGGACAGGTACGCTCCCTGCTCTCACGGAGCTGGGGTAGTGGACTGCGGGCGGTGGGAGGAGGGCAACAAGCCGAGAGCTGGAAACGTGCAGGCAGAGCTCCTCAGAGGAGACAGGCTTGAACTGAAGCATTTTCCAGAAGAAACGGCCTGTGTTTTGTAGGGTTGTGCCGTAGGGCATGTGAGCTTACGGAGGCAGAGAGAGAGTGAATGACGGTGAGAAGTCAGCCAGGGGCGTGGCTACTGGGCAGCCCCTCTACTTCCCTCCTGGGACTTTGGGCACGGACACACACGCTCTTAGAGTGATTTTCAAGCCAGCAGGTCCAGGGCTTGAACTATGGTAGGTCATGGGGGAATCCAGCACTTTAACCACCACACCACTTGCTGGCCCCGTGGCCTGCGTTCGTAAAATAATAATGTCATAATAGAATCGAGCAAACAAAAAGATCAAGGAGCTGTTTCAGATTAAAGGAGATCAAGACACATGATAACTAAAGATAATATACAACCTCAGACTATATACCAGGTCTATACTGCTATTCAGGGCATTC